TAGCTTTGGCGCTTTGTCTATTTGCTGAGCGCTTAAGACCGTCTCTCCACTACAATGAGACACTGGCTTTTTGATTGACTTGGCGGCGCTGCAAAAGCGTTCGCTGACTTCAGTGTGCGCCGACTAGTTTAAGCACGCAGACGACGGCCACAATTCGGTTTGTCGACGAGAGGGTGTATGTGTGTGTAATTATATATATATACATATGTGCGTATATGTGAATGTGTAAAATACATACACAGGCGTAAAACGCGTTCCGTTGGATATTCTTACTTTCGTTGCGTTAAAGAAAATTGCAAAAAAAAATTGTAATAAAAAAAAAATTACAAAATTCTCAAACACTCCAAATCGTAAGCGTTCGCTTGTTACTTTCGAGCAGMGCAGTGAGTGAGTGTGCTTTTGTTGCATAAATTTGTATTTTTTTTCGTGCAGAAAATCAGTGTTCGCACTCAAAACCGACACACGAAGCCAACAACAATTGCAACAACACAGAAATTAAAGTGCAAAAGTGAATAAAACCAAGTTAAAATTACAAAAAAAAAAAATAAAATATTAATTAATAATATTGCTGCCACAGTAAGCACGATCGTGAGATCACGACACAAATACAAAAACAACAGCAGCAGCAACAAAAACAACGATACAAGCTACTTTAGCAACAACAACAGCTGTTTTTCTTTCTCTGCTGTCAGCAGCTCACACTCACTTTCGGGCTGTCTGTTACAAAATTTCAAAATAAATTCAAAAAAGTAAAAAATATAGTATTCAAAAAGCAACAACAATAAAATGTTGTTTTAAATTTCATTTCAAAAAATCACCGCAGCCGCACAGTGAGGCGTGTGTGCAATCCGCAGCATTCGAGAGGTGAAGCTGCATTTGCTYTAAAACAACAAGAAAATGAATAAATGTGCGAAAAACTGAAAAARTTTAAAAGCCAGTGGCATTTCGGAATTTTTAATTGAGCTTAAAAAGTTGTGACAAAAAATTCAGTAAAGAAATCATTTTTTTTTTTTTATTGAGAAGTGTGAATTGTGTGTGAGAATTTTTCGTTGCTGTTGACGTTTTAAGGCAAAATCTGGATGGATTAAAATCAGCGCAGATTTTGTGAGTTTTGGGTAATAATGTTTAGTCTAAATATGACAGGATATACAGCAATACATATGAAAGTATGCCTAATATGRAGATTGTGTTTGGTATCTAAAAATATTCCGCAATCATACATACATACATATATTAGCTGCATTAGTGCAATAATGCAAAATATTTATTTTTTGTCTTTGTTTGYATTTCAAACCTATTTTCCTTTTTCCATTTTTGTTTTTATAATTAAGTAGGCATATAAATCATAATTTAATCATAAGTAATTTCGAATATTATTTGATAATTTATTTCTTTTCAAAAATTAAAAGAAAAACATAAAATGTAATAACTAAAAACTCAATAAATAAACTGATTTTAGTCGCTTTTAGAATTTCGATTATTATGAGAAAATAAGTTTTTTATAATTAAAAATTTAACTAACAGACAATCTGGATACTTTATTTTATTTTTCTATAAATAACAATATATAATAATTTGAATTTTGATGTAAGATTCAGGTTCGTTAAAAATAAATTTAAAAAATGTTAAGTCGAATAATTTGTTTCTTATTTAACTATTTAAATTGTATATTTTAAACGCAAAAAATAAAATGAGAATTTAAAATAGAGTTATTTTAAATTTTAAAAACTTATTTTTATTTCAAATTGTTAAAATAAAAAAAAATTAATTTAATTTAATTTTTATTTAATAGTTTTTAATTCCTATAGGTTTATTTAAAACCCCATAACTTGAAAACAATTTTTGTAACAATTTTAATAGTTCTAATCATTTAAAACATTTTTGTCTTCATTTTGTAAGTTTATTATTTTAATTTTTAAAATTCGATTAAAAATAAAAAAATAAAGATTCCGGATATTATTTTAAGTAAATTTTTAAATTTTAGCACTAAATTAGTAAATACTATACTTTTAACTTTCGTTAAAACTTTAATTAATTAATTTAAAAATGTGTTAATTTTATTCAAATAATAATTATTTTTATTACGTTTGTTTTTTCAATTTATTCAAATAACATAAATTGAATCTAAATGAATTGTTAAACATATCTTCTTAATTATTGAAAATAGTGAACAATTTTATGAAAAAGTTTAATTACGTTTTACAAACAAAAATTTCATTTTTACAAACTAGTGACTTTAAAATATTAATAGTTAATCAAAGAACTTATAAATCACTATTTGCTCTATATTAAATGATATCTAAAATATTTTTTTAAAAATACGTATATTGTTTTTCAATTTTAATCTTTAATTCCACAGTTCGTAGAAATTGAAAAGTTCCCACTCGCTGGACTTTCCTTTTCGATTCAATTAATGTAATTTCTTTTTCTCAATAAATGCCATATTAYCATATTCTTCCTCATTGTATTTTCATAAAATTTAGTTATTTTTTTTATAATTAAACAGACTCAAAATATATTGAAAGTTAAAAAAATTCACAATTCGAAATTAAAATTAATAAAATATTTCTTAAACCAAAAGTTGGAATGCAAAGARAAGGCCTTATTACAGTTTTCAATTACATTTGTCAGCACAAGTCTTATTATTTTCAAGCGGCATACAGACAAAATCGTCTTTCAATGTCTTCTGGCTTCAATTCATATGACTCCCCGTTTCTTCACTTTATTCTGTTTTTATATTTGTCAACAATCTACATCGGCTAATGCTTCCAGCTTTTCATCTTTTAMCTTTTTTCTGGCACACTGGACGTTTTTCTTCTTCCAAGCCAAAATCGGCACTTTTCAATGGAGCGCGGTTTTACCGGTGGTATAAACTTCCACCAAAATATAATGGTTTTCAGCTGTATTTTCTTCAAATTAAAGTAAATGAAGACATTTAATTTATAGCTCAAGTTCAAAATGCAACATTTTTTTAGCAAGAAAAGTTATTGTTGTTTAAATTCTTAAATGAATGAAAAATACTAAAGGAGATGAACCAGCATAGTAGTTTTCCAACGCATGTTCGCAGTGCTATAATAAACAAATTACGCCATCTCTTGGCACACCGCACGAATATAGACGAAATTGTAATAGTAAAGAGTGTCAAATAATGTTCAAATTATTATAAATATCAATTTTAAWTATAAACTTTTGTTTATCATTTTATTATTCTTCAGTGAAAAAATATCTGCCTTTAACTGGCAATTGATGAACTGGAATGTGAAATTTAAATTTTTKATATAAAATTCATTTTCTGAATTAAAAACAAATTGTTTTGGAAAATGGTAAACAACAAAAATTTTGATAAATCTTGAATGTGTAAATAAATAAATACAATTAACGAATTAATTATAACAAATTAACTATAATTATTTAAATTCAAAAAGCTGATGGTTTAAATATTTTTTTTTACTTACATTTACTGTTGCCAATTTATATGAAAACGATAATATTAAATAATTATTATTGATAATGATTTTGAAGCTTTTTCAGTTACTTATGCAAAAAAATCGTCAACTAATCTAGTTAAAAGAATTTTGTTAACTGCTCTAAATTGCATAAATAAAACAGAAAAATTARATTTCCTTAAACGTAATGAACTTAATTTAAATTTTTTGTGTAAAGGAAGAAATTATTTTTTGAATATTATAACACAAACTTCAACAATAAAACATTATACTATATTCAACATAATAAAAATATTATATTAAAAAAAAATTGCTTAAGTATTACTGTTCTTAAAAGTAATTAATCTTATCAAATTTTCCTTCAAGTATATGTTTTTTTTAAATAAAAATTTGCAAAACCATTTTATACAACTGTGGCTTGAATTAAAAAATAAATAATAAGTAAAGTTTTTAAAATGTTTTTGATAATGTGTATTAAAGAAATCTATTTTTTCGCAGTTAATTTCTTAAAAAAAAATTAATTTTTACAACTTTCACAATTTTTACAAATAATCTTCTTTGTTTTGWGAAAAAAAATTTTGTGAACTCAAAGATCATTTTTGGGAATATTTAATTTATTGTATTTATAGTTTTATTTAAAAAATTTTTCCTTATGGATAACTACTAAAAAAAATAATTTTACAACTTTTACAATGTAAACAAATAAACCTTATTTTGTTTTAAATTTTTTATTGAAATAATGTTTCACCTTTACTATTTGTTAATTTCTTGAAAAAAAAAATATTATTTACAGCTTTTAAAATGCTTACAAATATTGTTTTGTAGAAAATTTTCTAATGATTTTAAATAACATGTTTAAAAAGTTTCTAATTTTTGAATATTTTTGTAACTTTTTTTCTTCCTTTAAACAAAAATATCAAAAATTTTAAAATACTCGAAATTTAGCAGCGAATTTAAAAGCAAGCATTTGAGTTTTCAACTCACCCACACCAACATATGTACATTTCATTAAATGTGCACGACACCAATTTTTTGYGCGCCAACAACAGGTAAAACCGAGCGACAACAACGCCATTGGGGTGCGTTCATCCTCACTTAGAGCGCAAATATTATAAACAATAACCGTAAAAAGTATACAAAACAAAATTGTCGAATAAAAATTTTAACAACAACAACAACCAATTATATTAACAACTTTTGCGTTCATTACGAAATTCCTGTTTACTGTCACTCGTTGTTGTTATAAGCTTACATACACACGCCTGCATATGGATATGAATGCGTGTGTGCGTCGCCTTTTGACGTTGCAACTTCTCACTCAATTGTCAGAATAAATTTCGTATATTCTTTGTTGTTTGCAAACACTTACGGCATTTCTTCTCAATTTCATCGTAATTTCTTGTCGGTGTTTTTGTAAATTTAATTTTTGTTGTTGTGTTTGCTTTTGTTGCTGTTGGATTTTTTGTGACTCCACGAATTTCTCGCCTTACTTCATTTTGCCATATTCGAAATGAAGCGTAGTATTTAATAATAGCGTTCCGGCCGCAGCTCGCTTATTCGCACGAGTGTTCTTAACCTGATCTGTGGTTATCCGCGGCGATCGTTGTGCCATACCTCGATCCTTTGGGCGAACCAAAAAGTCAATAATCATAAAAACACGCGTCAGCTTACTCCCATTCGTAACGTTTCATCAACCGTACGTTTCTCGTAGGACGGTGCGTAGCGTAACAGTCTTAAGCAAAAGTAAGCAAAGGAGCAAGCTAATCGTATATTCTTATGTACTAAGTGATAAGTAGCAGTTTTTAAAGGACGATATACAGTGAAATTTATGAAAAATATTTGAGAAAAATTTTACAGAAACTGAGAAGTTTTGGAAAAACAAAGTATGCCAAAAAACTTTGGATATGCAGTGCCGTTAAAATACTAAATTCACTGCAGAATTAAAAATTTTTTCATATAAATAATTATTCAATTAATTTCAGTGTTACTTCAAATATAAAATTTCACAAAACTT